TCCCTAGCACAATGAGTAAAGGAATTTTACCTTCAGCAGGTCATGCACTAAGAGGTTCTGCCTGCCTGATAACACAAAACTACTTCAATGCCCAGCCACATTTCATCTTCGGAGCAGCATCACAAAATCCAATTGCTGTTACTCATCTTCTATGTTTATTTAACATACAAATTTTTTAAAAGAAATATAGTACTATCCATCTTTTTTAAAGATTATATCTGCATTCCAGTTTCCAGCTGAAATAACCCTTTTGCTTTCCATGCATATCAGTTTTCTTTATCTCCCTCCAAAAACTCATTTTGAGCACTTCAGCATATTTTACTTTTCCTATGTTTTTTTCTTATATTTGAATGTCCTAAGAAACCAACATTTCACATGGCAGTGAAAATGCTGTTCTCGCTCCTATTCTCCCTACTCTTTGCTCTTTAATTGACACCTCTATCCCAAAATAAAAATAAAAAACTACTTCTGCTTCATGGAAATTTCTTTTAATATAATATTTCAACACAACATTTTTTATGTCACTTACTTGTTCTCCTTTTTCATATTTTGCTGCTTTCTTGGTTGTTTTGTTTTAGGCACAAAAGCCTGTTCAAACTTTACAGCTTAAGTCATGTTTATAATGTAAATGTTACCCCTAAAATACCTGTCTTGAAGGCAATGCCCTTTCTATCAAACAGTAACCATAAAAAGAAAAAAAGATCCTTTACTGAGTGCATGGGAAGAATACATTCTGTACACCTCTTAAAAGGTGGGTTCAGTCCTTTAAAAATTTAAACAAAGGTGAGTGCAACAAAAATGTGTTGTCCTAGATAGGAAGGAAAAAGGCATAGTGGAAGTTGATACAGTTGTTCTGTAGGCTGGCAGTTGTTCTGTAGAGGGGAAGTACACACTAATGCTAGACAAAGAATGTGTTCTTTTGTTTCAAAATTGTTAAGATCTGTAGCAGTTTTCCCATTCCATATTAGGATGAAATCTGAATCAACAGAATACATGAAACACAGATAGGAAAGATCTAACTTGGCACTCATCAAGAATGCAGGTGACGCAAGTTCCCCATACTACAGATACAGATGAGAAAATGCAATGACAATTAAGTAGATCTGGTTGTTCAGCAACACATTCCTTCATATTGTTTTTTCCCCTCTCAGACCTATGAAACCTTCCTGTCAAAAACTAACGTCACACTTTTCTAATAAAAAAATTAGTGAAAGACTACTCCCAGCCAGGTCTAGCTCACGTATCTGCAGCGCACTGGAAGCAGCCAGAGGCAACGTGCCAGTGTCGCACCCCCAATGATCGGTATTGCAGGTCTCAAAACTTTTCTCTTGGGCAGCTCAAGCAAAACACACTCCACAGCACCGCAGGGCAGAGGTGTCCCGGGTTCGGCCGGGAGAGGGTTACCTTTCACCAGAAGCCGGGTGGGGACATGGCCGGTCAGGCTGACCCAGGCCACCGGGTATTCAACACCATGCGATGTCAGACCGGGTCAGGGGAGGAACAGCGGCTGTGGTGGTGATGCTATGCGCTCCCTCGCACTTGTCATTATCGTTGTTGTAATTACTGTTCGCTTCCCCTGCTGCCCTGTCAAACCGCCCTCATCCCGACCCACGAGGTTTGCCTTTTTCTTCCCATTCTGCCCCCCACCCCGCAGGGGGAGGGCTGATGGAGTGGTCTCTTGGCCCTTTGTCGTCGACCGGGGCCAAGCTGTGACAGGAGGTATTACCAAAATTTCCAAGCTGACAAAATCTTCACACATTAACAAGCCCTGCACAGCCTGATGGAGTAGGGAATAGAAAATTGTATTCTTATGCAGAAAAAAAAGGAGACTTAGAATGTCACACTACTCTCGCAAGACACACAAGATGGCTTTTGGGTTGGGTGTTTTTTTTTTTAGTAAAAGGAGATAATAACACTCCCCTCTCTCTCTCTGACTTTGTAAAGACATTTATAGGTGTCTAAGGAAAGCGGAGGTGGTCAG